CTAAAAAACAGGCGGGGAAAAAATTCTTTCCAGTGTTTCATCTCGGATAAAAAAACGTCAGTTATTCTTTTTATTTTCATCAAGGATGAATATATCTCTTAACTATTCTTTTGTCCTATTGCCTTTCTTTTCTCGTAGACCTTTTTTCCTATCGCATTTTAAAATTTTCCCTTCAAAGGTGTAATTCAGACTTAAAGGCAAACAAAAATAGTAAACAAGTCTATAGGACTTTCCCACGGGAATCGCTTACTGTTTTCTAATAGCCGAGCCGCTTTGTCGTATTTTTGCGTAAAACGAAGTTTAAATACATGGGATTGGGGTATAATGATTGTAATATAAAAGGGAAAACAACCGCAGCGGTTCAATGATCGTAGTGACGTTAAACATTATCAGAAAATTAGCTGCAAAAAGACGAAATATGAAGATCTGGGGCAGGTGGATCAAAATGCGAACTGCCGCTCTGATGAATTTTAATCGAAGACAAGAAGCCAGACCGTCGGCTAATTGCGTTTGACGGAATATATTAAATGTAAATTCAAGGGGCAGTCCTACGGTTTGAACACGATTTCGCGTGCGGTAACATGTTATAACGCGTTGGAAAGGCTGGCGATGCGCCAACATGGGAGCAACATTCGAACTTTGCCTCGAAGTTCTATTAAAGTTTTACGCCAGGGCTGAAGACTTGGACGCTTTCTACATCACTCTGTGTGTTGTACATGGTGTACTCTCTTTCACAGCGATCGTGGGAAATGTAGCGATGATTTTTGCGCTTCAAAAGGCTTCATCCGTGCCAACGACTTCGAGGATCTTGATGCAAAGCTTGGCCCTGACTGATTTAAGTGTTGGTCTACTCGGACATCCATTGTACATTGTAGTCATCGCCGGAATTCGACAAAATTATGGTTGCGGACATATTCATGTGACCCTTACGGTGTTTTTCATACTCTCGACTTCTCTAGTGTTTTTTTCCTTCCAAATAGTAGCGTTCATCGGCGTGGATCGCTTTCTCGCCATAACCCTGCACCTGAGATACAGTGAACTAGTTACGCCAAAGCGAGTTGTTATATTGGTTGCTTCTGTGTGGATTGTCACTCTCTCTGTCGTGTTCATAGGAGCCTTTTACTATTTTCAAGTTGGAGAGATAGTTCTTCTTGTTGGCGGCTACGCGTCTGTACTTTTGCTTGGCGTCATTTACATGAAAGTATATTTAGTAGCTCGTCGTCACCAAGCGAGCATCGACAGCCAAGCCCAGGCAACGAGTAACTTAAACTTGGCTCGAAACAAGAACTTAGCTATCAAAACGTTATACGTGTTTGTCGTGTTCGAGTTTTGTGTTCTTCCGTATCTCATCACTCTGACTGTCTTGTTAATTTCAGGTCAGAGTGTTGTTTTACAAGGGACTGTGCAATTAGCCTCGGCTTTGATGATGCTAAATTCTTCATTAAACCCCATAGTGTTCGGCTGGAAAATGACGGAAATCCGTCAAATTATCAAAAATAAAGTTAAAACGCTTTTTTGCTGTTAAAACTTGAAAGTTAAACGATGTGAAAAAACACGGCTGACGGTGTAAAGATGGTCTAAGCGTGAAAGAGAAAGCAACTCGAGAAAGCAACGGAACATCAAAAATGTATCTGATTCAGATAAGGAATGCGTGACAGTCACGCCTTTAAAAGGAACGACGGACTTACTCCATCAGTGTGTGGGTTTCCTTTCTTCCTCTATTGAATATCGATGAAATACATTTATTTTATGTTGCACATTTTACTCTTGAACATAGCTATCCATAAGTAGAAACAGAGATACTAACTGTCCAACAACACCTGCAATCTTTTGGGGGTTGGCTTTATTCCAAGCTGGCAGTTAATTATGACAAGCGTGTTACGACAAGACTTAAAAATATTCTTGAACAAAAAGATATTAAAAGCTTTCCGTCGAAGATGATTCTTACATCTGTCAAAAGAATGATCAAGAGTCATTCAAGAGGCACATATGGTAGTTATCTAGTAAAGAATGTCCGGCCTCACGAGTTGTCGAAATAAAAAGGTGTTTTTATTCTGCCGTTGTATTTTTCTTATATATCATTCAAGAAAGCAACATTGAAAGCATTTGCACTTTCTATACTTTGAGCCCGTCACAGCGGGTTATCTTTGCCTCATCACACTTTCCTGACATATGTTTACGAATAATAAAATTTACTAAGCAGAAATTTAAAGTGGACTAAAAAGCCTTCTTTTCAGTAAGTGCTCACAATTCGGAGAATTCAGACAGAAACTTTCGCAACTTTGCACTGAGCAACAAAATTAGGCCATCCGTGTTACGTTTTCAATCGCCCAAGCGAACCATCATTTTTTTTTTTTCTTTCTTTTCTTTATAAAATTTCCTTATTCATTATAGGCAGGTTCCTGTTATC